TAGTAGCGTCCTTGCTCCTAGTAGTATGGCCAGGAGCCCCTAGTAGCTTCTTGTTCCTAGTAGCTTCTTGTTACTAGTAGCTTCAAAGACCTACTAGTAGCGTCCCTGTTACTAGTATTAATTCCAGGAGCTACGTTCGTAGCGTCCTTGCTCCTAGTAGCGATGCCCTTTGTTATGAGTTTCAGCGTGTCTCGGCCCTCACAAACTGTTCATGTCGACACCTGGCTGGCAAGGCACCTTATGCACACTCGCGCCGCATGCTTACGCAATGACCCCTCTTGGGAAATGTCCTGGTCGGTCACATCGGCCTGGGGCAAGCAAGGAGTGGCAACCTTTCTCAGCTACTGCTTTTTCACCCCTGTCAGTTCACAGTGCAGCTCTACAATGCCTTTGCCGTACGACGCGGTGATTGCAGTCTTTGTCAGCGTTCTTGAAATGGAATGCGCTCTTTTTGAGAGGCTTTGTCCCAGCTTTTGCAATGTATTCTTCCGAATTGAGTTTACTGCGTCGCTTCATTTCTGTCCAACTAGCTCGTTGAATCTCCTGCATGCCACCACCAGCAAGTGTAAAGTCATCGACACAAATGTTGAGGACCGACGCATGTTGCGCTTCTTAAGGTCTTCTCGGGCTTTTCTCGCTTCCAGGTGCTTGATGCCCTTCCATTGGACGACTCACCGGCTCGCGCCTTACGGGCCTGGCCCGGGCCTTCGACACAGCATCGCAGCACAAGCCCTTCCCCTACCAAATCCTTACCTGGTTGAACTTTTCTGGCAACCTAATGACCTAATCTGTAATTACAATCACTGCAGAGTGCGGAGGACATCCTCGTCCAACACTAGGCCGCATTTCCACGCCGGTGAAAAACATCTGAGCGTTGACTCAACCGGACTAAGCAGCCTTGTGGGATAGGGGAACGCTTCAAGCAAACACTAAGCAGCCTTGCGAGTCGGGGTTGGTGCGTGTGTAATGTGATTCTCACTGATGAGTGACAGTTCAACTAAGCAGGGGTCATTTTACTTGCCTAATATGGACATGGGCTGTCTGTATAATGTTGTTGTAATGGATTGCACCCCGCAGGCCAAGGAATGTACCCCACCTGTGCAAGGACATCGCAGTTCACAGTCAAACAAGCCCTAGATTGCAACGCGAAACAGGCTGCGAAAGACAGCATGAGATTCAAGTGTAATCAAAAAAGTGGTGGGGTGGATGCAGGGGTCGGGAGGCTCAAAACAAAATACGACAGTGCTGAGGCAGAGGAACCAGCCAAACGAGCGACACGCAGCCTGTCACAAGTCTAATGCGAACAGAACAGTAAGTTCCGCAGCAAAGCAAACTGGCACACCCTTGAGTTTTCAGCGCACTTGAGCCAAAGTCGGTGTCATACCAATACGACTAGTGATACTACCTGACATGGAAAGACGCATATTGCATCAACTGCAAACCGGATTTGAGAATGGCAGTACCCTTCGTTCAACATGGATGCCTGATGCCTGCGGAAGAGAGTTCTGAGAAAGGATGAGATCCCTCTCTGACAGGTGTGGTGCCACTGTGGTCGCTTTGACTCCAGTCCAAAGGATGCTCTCGTGCTCCCAACATGCTCTGCCCAGCTCATGTCGGCTCCATGCCTGGTCGGATAACAGCTTGGAGACCTGGCAAATGCGTCGCTGGGAGCCCCTAGTAGCTTCTTGTTCCTAATAGCTTCTTGCTCCTAGTA